TCATAAAAGCTGGCGCACCTCTTCGATTTTCGCAAAAGGAAGTGCCACAGCAATGACTTCAATTTGGAAAACTTGGTGTGTCGGTAGTTTTAAAAGGGGTGCTTCAGTTGATAAAGGAAAAAATTTGCCATCAGTTGTTTCGCCAAAAGGGCATACTCCAAGGGAACTAAAATTTCAAGTTATTGTTTTTTTATTTTCACCGTATTCTGTAAAAGCAAACTGCACTGCAAAATGTTAATATCGTTCAAATTATTAAAAAGTAAAATATATGACACACTTTTCAGTTTTCGCTCCTAAATACGCTCCAAAAACGTTCCCAGCAACCACAAAAATGTAGTCGCCTGTATACACACTTTGTTGCAACTGCAGTTGTCAGTTGAAAGTTGCCAGTTGCTATCTGTAATATCGTTTTGGCAACTAGCAACGCAACTGAAGTTCGATTACTATCGATAATCGACCCATTAGATATGTTTGCGGTGACGTGCAATAAGATCAATGGAATTAACGTCAATTGACATAAATTCACTTTTGTTAGGAAGTTAATGTCAATGACATAAGCACATAAGTAACAAATTTGTTAATGTCAGAACAATTGTGGAAATAATCTAATCGACATTGGTTCAATTCGGAGAATGTAAAAAAAAGTTTTTGTTTTTTTAAGATCCTGATATTAATACAAAATTGAGAATTATTCTGAATTAATGCCAGAGATGTTAAAAATCATGCAAGCTTTATGGTGACGTGTAATAAGGTGAGATGAAATAACGTCCATGGATACTATTTCTTATCGTTCATATACAATATTGCCTTTTCGAAAGTGCAGTAAAATCCATGGACGTTATTACTCTTTCAAAAAGATATTGACTAAGTCCGCCTTTAATATACACACACCCCCAAAATAATTTTCACCCTGTTGCGAGTGTCGACTATTGAGATAATCGACTATTATTCGATCATTGATTATCGGAGATATGGCGAGTGTCGACTACTCGCTCAGTTAGCGACTGTGAATAGTTTTTGATCGCTAATCATTCTACTGCCATTTTTTAGTCGTTAGATTACAAAAAACCGAATTTAATATAAAACAAGTCAACAAAATGGATAAAAAGAAAGTTATTTTCATTAAAATTGCTGAAGATTTTTATTGTAAGGAATTCTAATGTGTCATTGCCTTTATTAGTTTGTAAGCGAAATATGCACACATATGATAACTCTATGAGAATGAAGAGAAATAAGGAAAATAAAGGAAAATGGACATTTCCGTTCTGGTAAAGCAAATGATAAGACGCACATCTTTATTGTCCAATAATATCGAGGGATTACCACGCCATCAAGCTATTATAGCCCTCAGAAGCGGGCAACTATTGCACACCTGATAACAAGCAAAGTAAGAAACAAAACATTTTGTTAAATACTGAGTGAATATGTCAGAGAAACCAAAGTGCTGGCGTGACTTTCCCAAAACCTGCCACGATTGCACAATTGCGGTCCCTATGTGCTGATGTAGTGGGTGATGGCTCTGCAGCTTACGGAGCAAGTTAGGAAACTGAGGCAATTGTACCTGCGGTCAGTGATGTGGTCAGCGATGTGGTCCAAAATATAACTGCGGTTATTGATGTTGGTGTTGAGCAGTGTTGCCAGTAACAGCTTTAATAAAATCCCGTTCAAATATAACCTAAATCCCGTTTTATACTAAAGTTATAATAGAAATCCCGGGCTATATGTATATATTATACATAAAATGCTTTCTGATGTACATACACACATATTCCACGTCAAAACGCATGCGGCTCTGCCCAAAAGTTGAAGGTCAACTAGACGAACTATTGAAACCTAAAAGTGAATCCAATCCAACTGATTCAAATTTTCTGTGAAATATTATCGAAGTGATTTTGGAAAAAAGTTTAGAAAAATCATAACTTCCGAAGTTGTCTATTGCTTTTTATAAAAGTACTTAGTTCTACTCGGAATAAAACATATTTTCAAAGTAGTGACTAAAAGATACTATTTTCTTTTGATATTTTGCCAAAAAATAATAAAAATTTGTGTAAATTTCACATTGACCTAAACATTTCCATATATTTGCAATATGCTCACAAAACTTATTATTTCTTAAAATAGTATAAGTATCCTTCTTTTTAAAGTCATATAAAAACCTAAAATGGGTTAAAATATAACTGAGCTAAAAGTTATTTAGTGCCCGAAGTCATTCAAAAATGGTATTTAAGAATATAAGTTGAGAATTTCAAGGCGTTAGAAAAATTTTAAGCGTACTTTGGTGAATTTGGTGTACTAGGCCAATTAAAAAGTTCATGATCAGTGTAACATCGTGTAATAAAATCACTCAAAATATTTTTGCATTAATCCTTTAAAACAAGTTCAGAATCTAGAAACTCAAGATATCCAAATTAATTTTGGATAACACATAAAATTGCTACTAAAATTCATTTCAAGTGAATAAAGTTCCGCTGATAGAATTCATATGAACGGCGTTATTTTATCACAGAGTATGACAGCTTTTTCTTATTTATTAATAACTAAATTTTATTGCTTGGTATGGAATGACAAAAATCCCGTTTTTCGTCAGAAAATCCCATTCGCCCTTTTTGGTCATAAAATCCCGAAAAAAGGGCGAAATCCCGCAAACTGGCAACACTGGTGTTGAGGTAGAATCAAATGCTGCTCCTGTCGCCAAAGCAGTATATGTGGCTTCGTTAGACGAGGAAATTGCGTGCTTTCAGAAACAGCGCCTAATCGTGCTTTTGCAGCGTGAGATCGGCCGCTGCGGGTGCAGACATCGCACAGTGGAAGGGCCCCGTATAAGCTGCGTCCAAAAGTAGTAACCGTACTAGAAATTCGCTGAAATTTCGTATATACGCTATTTGGCACTTAGGAATGAAGAAATGTGGAAAATGGTAAAATTCCAATCGGGTGAAATAACACAAACGGCAATAACGCAAAATTTACTTTATTTCACTTTTAAATAGGAAATAATACCAAACTCAGAGTTTTGCTTTATTTCCAACAAAGGTTGGAAATAAAACAAATTTTGCCTTATTTCCCATTGCTTATTTATACTATTTGTAAAAAAGCAGTTTACTGACAGAAGGAAAAATAACTTTGTTTATTCCAAAAATACAATTAAACCAAGGCACATTGAACAGGTAGTATCAGTATGCACAGTAGCTGATTTGATTTTTTTCAAATTATTTGTTCTCGAAAATGTCAAATATTATTAATAATCTTCTCACACAAATTCTAAGTTATTAAAATCTATTTGCATGTGAAACCTTTTTCCATACAAAACCAGCGATTGAATAGCAACTTTTGGAACGCTCGCCCAAGTCAGTAGCACAACCGATGATTACTGGGCCTGGCACAGGATGGATCAAAGCTTCGAGAAGCAAACCAATTTACTAAGAAAGATAGTTGCAACCATGATATAAATAAAATAATGTAAAAAAAATATTTTTTAAAAACAAGCTTTTATTTAGCCTGTACAATCAAAGGAATAAAATGAAGTAGTGTAACTAAAGATTTTTTAGCAAGAAAATTTTGTCAAAACTGCACTAAAATGAATAAAATAAAATAAGTTAAGATCTCGTTAAAGTTACTAAAAGCCATTTAGTGAAAGGAGTTATTCAAACTAATGAAAATTACTAACAATTTGTACTAATTTACTTCGTTTTTAAAAAAGCTTCTCGCGCGAATAGCAAACCGACATTTAAATATCTGCATACATACATATACATACATATCTAACCAATTATGCATGTACGCTGAATTCGCCGACAAGCTTTTTTAAAAACGAAGTAAATTAGTACAAATTGTTAGTAATTTTCATTAGAGTTTGAATAACTTCTTTCACTAAATGGCTTTTTGTAACTTTCACGAGATCTTAACTTATTTTATTTTATTCATTTTAGTGCAGTTTTGACAAAATTTTCTTGCTAAAAAATCTTTTGTTACACTACTTCATTTTATTCCTTTGATTGTACAGGTTAAATAAAAGCTTGTTTTTAAAAAATATTTTATTTGCATTATTTTATTTTATAATTTTTAGTCCGTTTATAAAAGCGTTGTATATTAAAAAGTGTTATTTTATTTTATGTAGAAAATTTTGCAATAGATATTAAAATAATTCAACTTGCAATGAAAGAGAACAGAAGACCTAGCAAGCAAAATGTTGTTTGCTTACGTTTTGTATAAACATACATATGTACATATAGCAGCAGTTAATTTTATTTCAAGAAATGGCGTGTCGTCCATTTCCGCTGTAGCATGGCATATATTTAGGCGCAATATTTAACTTCTTCTGGCGGGGCGACATCTGAAGTCTTTTAATTGTATCTCCATGATATGATGCCTACAACGAGGTTCATATCTAGACTAGGAATAGCTTTCCTGCACTACCGCCGCGGCGCGTCGGCAGCTTGAACAATTTTATAGTGGTTTTCGTTCTTTGGCAAATTACGCTCTGTTAGCCATAAATCTTACTATGTTTTGACCGCCTTTGAATCAAGACCCCTGGACCATATGGAGAATTCATTTACATTTTAAATTGCAGTGTCATCGTGATTGGAACTATGCTGTCTTCAAGTCTCTAACTTGTCGGGAAGTCAGTTTAAAATCGATTGGAAATTTCCGCGATTTGCCCGGGATGACCAACTTTAATAAAAGCTTATAAAAAGAAGGTAGTTTCATTACTACTATTTTTTGATTATAAAGCAGATTTTTGACATTTCTCCCGATGTAAACATTAAGCATAGCTTTGCCACATTGAAATTTTTTGATAGGGGAGATTTTCTTTTAAATATTTGGGAGTAAAATTTACATAACAACAATAGTAAGTTGATGTGTTCGATAATCAAATTTGAACGTTTTTCTCGAGCGTTTAAAAGAGACTAGTTTTGAAAAATTTATTTATTAAAATCTGTTTTTCATTTTATTTTAAACAAATTTCATAAATTTACATAACAAAACTCTTTTTTTTTTGTCAGATAGTCCGAAGAAGATGTATTGTTAGATATTTCGTCATTGAAGCGTAGTCTGAAACCACGATTCGGAGAATGTTAAATGGCCTCATTGCCCTCACAATGAAAGCAGTCACAATTCAGAATTCTCCGAAAATGAAGTATCTATAAGTAACTCTGGATACAAAACCTTCGTGGAAATCTAACGAGGAACACAAATGCTCTAAAGAATGGGCAGCATTTTGGCAATGTAAACTGGTCTTTGGATTTATACCTCTATGATCAGACCCATAATTAGCTATGCGTCAGTGATAGGGTGGAGCAGATTCTCAATCAAGAGCGTGGGAGGTCTGCTTGCAAAACTTCAAAAAACTATTGCCGTGTGCGGTATGAAAGATTTCTCTACAAAACGTGGCGTTGTTCTTGATGCACTGCTGCACTTACCGTCATTAACTTTACTCTTGGCAAGTATGCTTCGGTCTTCCAGGCTGAGGTATTTGCAATTCTCAAGTATATGGACTACATGGTGGAAAATAGGTGGAGCGGAAGGAGTTTACGTGACGGCCAAGCTGCATTTAACGCACTACTTACTTCCAGACTCTGAGTGCCAGTTCAATCGGGAGTACCTCCTATCGTCCATAACTATAATATTTATCATATCATGAATTTCAATTTTCGTTTTTGCGCATATCGAAATTTCTTTTTAATTTTGTAAATAATTTTTATACAATAAATAAATAATTATTGAGGGTTGGGCAGCCGGAAATGTCACAATCTGCTTAATTGTCAGGTAGTTAATATGGCGCCCGGAAAGTGACAATGAAACTACCTTCTTTTTTGTATCATCGTTGCAACCATGATAAAAACATTAGAAGGTAAAAGCATTCTCTCAATTCGTCGGCCATGATTTTTTCTGACGTTTGCAAACATTTTAAAATCATAAAAAATTTGAAATAAAAAAATGAAATTGTTCACAATTGTTTTTGTTTATGTGTGTGAGCTTGAGTTCGAATAATTATAATGTTGGTAAACGTCAGACTGCCCCTCAATGATTTTATCTTGTAATGTTTTTATCATGGTTGCAACAATATAAATTTTTTCAATTTAATTTTTTTTTTTTTTCGTATTTCGCATGGCACGCTTTGATGTAGAAGAAAAAAATCAGAACAGTTTTTGACACCTTCGATACCAGAAGAAACAACAAAATACAGGCAAATGTTGTTTTTGCTCAAATGCTCTAAACCTGTGTGATTGGCCTTGAATTAAACAAAAAATGTAATATAATTCATATGAAGAAAGTAATATTCACAATATTTTTTTACTTATGAAAAGTCTAACAAAATATAGGGAAAGCATTGTCTTTAATCATTGCTCGGCATATTGGACAAAGCGCTTTTGTATGAATTTTATCTGCAATATTTTTAATATGTTAAAAACATTACTGGAACACCTTAAAATGTTGCAATAAACAGATGAAGTAATAAGACGGCTTTCTCGCTTTATTTTCTGACATTCGGCTGCCTTACAGTCACATTTTATAGGCAAATTTGCAAATAAGGCAGTGGCATCTGGGAATTTCCACTATGGGTGGGATGCATGCAATAAAACCATACACAATAATTCCCATTACTTGGACATTAAAAAGCAGTTTCAGAAGTGAATTAGTGTTATTTTAATATTTTTACTTATAAAGAATTGTGAAAGCAGGGGGGCACGCGAGCGGGACGTCGAACGAAACGCGGGGCGGCGCGCGAACACGGACCTCCGGGACGCCGGGCACTTTCAAAATTGTATACTTACAAATCCGTCCATTTAACTTGTTCATGTACTACTTTTTGTCAAATGTAACTACTAATGTGCATTATTTTGTTTTATTACTCAAATTGTTAAGTTTAAAAGCTGGTCTTATTGCACAACCAGAAAGCAAATTTGTGTTATTTCACATTCAATTGGGAAATAACACAAATTTGCGTTATTGCCGTTTGTGTTATTTCACTCCCAAATGATTTTGATAATATTTAATGAACTCCAATTGAAATTTACAAAAAGCGATCGATTTCAATCGGAAGATTAAAGTTAAAGGGTGAACACACCAAAACTGCGACACTTTGGGAAGCTTATAACTTACCCAAAACGAATTCAATATTTTGAAATTCAAATACCATAAGTTGACCATGACCTTAGTTGAACGTAGAAGAAATTTCATTTGAATTTGATTCCTAGTTGAGTTAAAAATGGCAACCGAGCTAGAAACGAGACAAAACATTTTGCACGAGTTTATAAATGATCCGGCCTTAAGTACACGTAAAATTGGTAAAAAATTAAAGAGTGCACTATTCGACAGTTTGCAGGGTTTTAATCGGTACAAATAAGGCCTGACAGTTACGAGAAAACCAGGGAGCGGGGGTTAGCATGGTCAAAGTGATAAAAACAGTGCTCGGAAGGTCCTCAGTGCGTTTTCGCGAGATCCGAAGATTTTGTCGCGTTATGTTGCAAAATCCGTACGGAGATCGCAATTTTTCGTAAAGCGGAAAGCTTCATTGAGATGTTCTACAGCTCAAACAGCGCCAGACCGAGGCGCAAAGTAGAATGTTAAAGCGAAATCCCGCATTCGGAAGTTGTATGAATTCTAAATTAAAAAATACAACTGCATTGTTATGGACTGCGAAACCTACTGCTATAAGAATTCAAAATATGTTGCAGGTCAAGATTTTTATACTGCTGCAAGTCGTCAAGATGCCCCTGAAAGTTGTAAGCTGAAAATGAAGTCCAAATTTCCAAAAACCACATGGTTTGGCAAGCTATTTGTTCCTGCGGCCGTAAGAGCAGCCCTTTTTTTTCCCATCCGGGACAATGAATGATCAAGTTTATCGGGATGAGTGCCTCAAAAGGCGTCTTCTGTCATTTATCAACAGATAAGGAGTAGGCCATCGTTCTAGGCGGACATGGCAACCTGCCACTATGCCAAGGACACATTGCCGTGGTATAATGCAAATAACATCAATTTTGTACATCACGACTGCAATCCACCCAATAGCCCAGAGCCACGTCCTATTGGGGAATATTGGTCAATTGTCAAAGCAATCTTGAAGAAAACAGGTGAAAGAGTGAAAATTATTGAAGAGTGCAAAACAAAGTAGTTGTGCGCATCGCGTAATGTCGATGATGCAGTCGTGAAGAACATGATGGCGCGTGTGCGATGAAAATACCGATCACTTGCGTATGGAGCAAATAATAACTAATATTTTAACATTTTAATAACATCTAAACTTCCAAGTTATATAATAAAAAAAAAAATAATTTCAAAGCCTTCTAGTTCGTTTCTGGTAGTAATTTCTAAGTGTCGCAATTTGGTGTGTTCACCCTTTAAATGCGCATTACAATTCTAATAAAGCTACATCACAATTTTATAATTGAAGTGATTTAGATAAATTCTCAAATAAGTCTAGCTTGTTCTTTTAAAGTAAATTAGTGCATAACATTTAGATATGTGTTTGTATGTTTTCTGACTATTTTACACAACTAACAAGGAAATAATAACTTCTTTTTTTGTATAAACATGAAAGTTACATAAACGGGTGATACACTTGATATTATTTAACAAAAAAGCCATCTTTCCAAAATATCGTAAGGAAAAATCGATACATTTTCACACTCGACTTGCTATATCGTAAAACTAAGTTAAAACTACTTAGTTAGTAGAAGTTTGAAATGCGACTAAGAATATAAGTGAATTTTAAGTTGGTACTTAAATTTATAATGCAACTTTATTAGTTTCGATTTAGTAGCTGGACTATGAATACGAGCGTTACTCATACCTACAGTGACCATATTTATGGGAGACGAATACGGGACAAAAAATAATTTTTGGAAATTTTTTCCACAAAAACTTACAGATCTTAAAACCTTCTTCCTACATGTATAAGCCCAGGATCCTTATAGTAACGTCACAAATGTGTAGGATATTTTTTTCGAGATTTTTACCCCGCAAAATTTCTTAATAAAAATTGGTGAAATTCTAATATAATAAAGTACAATTTTGAGGTCGATAGGCCTTACCGTTAATTTTTGGCAATTTTTTTTTTTGTTGCCGGTGTTACGCATTTTTTTCATACAAAGTATGTTCGAAATTTTAAAAAAGAAGCGAAGGAGCAGCACTTTATTTGACTCAATTCTAATGAGCTACAAAACTGGGTATGTATTACGTATGACGATAATCGTCTTGCTTTATGAAAACCCATATATGTAAAAATTCTATATTGGCAGTAAGCTAACTTCTCAATGTGTAAGCATTCCAAAATCAAAGCGAGACAGTCTAGTACCGTTTTTGTCAATATATTGTGTACTTGAGTGCCGTTTTGTATATGTGTTGTGTACATGTTTACCCTGCAGAAAAAAATTATCAATTGATAAAAAGTAACCCACTTGTAGTTAGCTTTTTTGGGGGATTTCTTTAAAATATATAACTTGTAGTTAGCTACAAAAAGCTAACTTGAAACTAGTTGACAAGTAATGCAGGAGTAATGAAGGAGATTGTTTTCTTTAAACGCGTTTCTACTTAAATATCCTGCACTTCGCAAATACTTTTTCGAATTGAGGACAAATAAAAGGAAGATCGAAATTTCATATTATCATTTTGAAGTTATGTCTGACGGAGTTCGAATATGGGACCACCTACAGCAGAATATGGAAACAAATATGAAATGTAATAAAATAAATAAATTAAATAAAAAATAAAAATAAAAAAAATATTTGGTTTTTCCTATTGATATTTTATGTCCAAAAGTAGTTAGTTACAAGTTAGTTAAATCAAATGCAGAGGTAACCACCATTGACTACATCTAATGCAGAGGTAACCACCCTTGACTATTTCGCGGCCATCGCCATAGAAATATAGTTAGTTTTCATCAAAGAAAATATACAGATAATAAGTGACTTTTAGCTCCTTCCTAATCAACTTAAAGTTAGCTTACAGCTAGATACATTTCCTGCAGGGTATTTATAAACGTATGTGGTCCTTTTCTTTCGTACGTGTTTATTGATATATCTGTACTGTAGTGTTTTCGGACGGTAATTACTGCCAATATAGGAGTATTACATATATGTGAAAACCAAAAACTTTTTGATGGTTTGGGCGATATCGTCAACTCGATTCCAATTTTGCTTCACGTAACAGCTTGAAATACCGCGTAGTATTAAATAAACGTTCGTTCTTGTACGACAGTGAATTAAGTATAATTTAAAGAAAAAAAAACAGGTACATTTAATTTTTTTGTAATCGTTTTTTTTTTTTTGAAGACTGGAATTGAAGAGATAGCTTTAATCCTTCATCTCTCCAAGAAAAAGCGTATGCAACAACATTTTCTTTATATTGTTTCTGACAGACATTTCAGCCAATTTGTTCAATCAATGTGTTTGCCTCAACTTAAACTCCGGCAGTATTATCCTTCTTTGGATTCCTCAACGAAGGTGGCTAGTTGACTGAAAATTGCGCTTGCATACCACGAAACGGAACTAATTATTCATAATTTTAATGTTACAATTAAACGAATATTATTTCATCTTCAATATTACTCGCTACATCCTGTAACTAAGCGCCCGTTACTGTAAAGGGAATATCCACTATGTTCTCTTTACATTTTTAACCGCCACTTCTTCCAGCTGAAGCACTATCTTTAGAAATTTTAAAAAATATAATGGCAAATATTTTGG